AATTACTTTAGAAATTAAAACTGTGTATAGAAGCTCTTTGTCCTAAATCTTAAAAAGTACGATCATGAAATGAATGAAGTACTACATTTTAAAATATTTATCCTTCTATAAATTTAGCTAATGGAAGATTAAATTCTGACTGAAGATGCTATTACATTTTTATATGCTTTCAAAACCTTAATTTTAAGTGTATATCACTAGTAAGATCCTCAATAAGAGAAAATTTGAATAAAATTATAGTGGTTTTCATTGTTTATTCATAAAATAGAAGATCTTAAAGTCTACAATATTAAAAAAAACCTCCATCTGCAGAAACTCACATTTTATATTTTGTGTATTTTTATTCTTCATTCTAATTTTTCATTCTTTAATGAGCATGTTTCCAATTAAATCAAATCTGTACCTATTCTATTTTAGGATAATCTGACCAAAAATATCAAATATTACTCTCTACTACTTGCCCAAAGAGAACTGGAAAATATATTAAATTATATCTCTGTAGTCACTAGTACTTTGACAAGACTGCATGCTCCACATAGGCACGTTAAGAATGTAAACTATTAGAATATCAGGATTTTACCGGGAGTAAGATTTCAGATCTGGAAGATACGCAACTTCCATATGACAAAATCTCCTGTCTCAAATTTCATACAAAATCCTATGTATGACCACAGAACACGTAACACAAATGGATAGTGAGAAAAAAAATATATTTTTTTTCCTACAAAGTGTTATGTGCAAAATATTTTGGAATATGCCTTATTTGCTTTTAAAAAAGATTAGTGAAAAAAAAGAGGTCAGCTTCCAGTGATGAGAGCTCTAATCCAGACAACAAAGAAGTCAATGGGAATCTTCTCATTGTTTGTAGTGAGATTTAAATTTGACACCGTATTAGAAAAAGGGAATTACACTCAGAGCAAAATACCTCTGTACATATGTGTGTGTGCGCACACGCGCGCAAGTGTGTGTGCATGTGCGTGCATGTGTGTTTGTGGGTGGGTGATGGATGGGGAGTGTGTGTATATATATGAATACACAATCATACATATATAAACACACATAATTATCATTGTTAAGTACATTAGGGTTAGCAAGCAGTACAAGTGACATGACTCTGCCTTTCAGACAAGGCTACTTTACTGTTACTGAGGGTTTGTTTTATTGTACTACCCGATACACTTCCATAAATATTGCTGACAAAGGTAATATTCAAGAAAGGAACATTTTTCTTACTCCGATCGAAGATGCAATAATCAAATCATAAAACACAAAACCAATAGCCAATCAATGTGAATAAGTCTGCCCATAGGCTTAATTCAAGCAAGCCATTCACTGCGCTATGTGATGGATCTGTCAAATCCAATACAGCATTACAGACATACTAGCAACATCAAGTGAACATGCAATGACAAAATGACAATACGCCTCACTGCCATGCTTTGACTTCTTCTACCTCATAAATATAAAACGTGATGACTTTGCTAGTTTCTCTTACTTCAGACTTGGACAGAAATCTAACAACTATATTTTTATTTATATTTTTTAAAATATTACTTGAAAGCTGAATAAAAGCTGTACAAACATTTTATTGGCATCTGATTTAGTGTCTTTTGCACATCCTTACAATTATTTTTTCCAAACACTCTCAGTTTAAAGAGTTTGGCAGGAAAAGCTCCAGAATGGTGAAGAACTTACATAGACCAGTAGGTCCCCTTTTATCAGTTATAGGAATTGGAAAATTTATCAGAAATATTTTAAGCATTGGAAAGTTAAACATTATTTTTTTGATCCACTTCTGCAAAGAGCGTCAAATCTCTAAGTGCAGTTTAATATGATGATAGATCACACAGTATAAAAATCCAATTCTAAATTTTGTTGAAGTTGTTTTCAGTGATTATATTGCTTAACAAATAAAACAAAATGTCCCTGTTTGTTTGTTTGTTTTGTTGTTTTTGTTTTACAAGTCTAAGAAATGACTGGAGAAATCTGCAAGGTCTACTTCCATTGTGAAACTGTTTTTAGGAGTACATGATTTGTCTTAACAAATACCTAGGGCTTTGCGTTGATTAGTTTCGTGAAATTTCCTTGCCACCTGATTCTCCCCTATATATCTGTTCTTTGCCTATTTCCAGCAATATTTCCACCTGTGACAAACAAGGATACCATTGCATTTGTTCATAATAGAGCCCTCTTACAGTGATCGTTATCCATCGACTTGATGTATGGATTCTGGAGTCCCAAATCTTTCTGTTAAACTTTATTTTTAATTTATCAAAATGTGTCTCTAATCTAAAGATTTCCTCTTTCCATCTCCTGACTTAAGAATATGTGGAACATTGCTATTCATCATATACATGAGCTGTGATCAAAAAAATAAAGCTTTTTTTATTTTTTTAAATTAATATGAAGTAGTATTTCCACGATATGTCACTGCTTCAATAGTACATACTCACTGGTCCTCACTTCATTTTTCTGGGCATTGTTTACACATAAACAGTAAATATATTTCATGTGTAATTAAATTAAATAGGGGCTCAAATCAACACTAAATAAGAGCAGTGTATAAGGAGATACGGAATCTTCAATATTGTCAGAGGACAGCAGATGATTATTACATTGAGAAGAAAAGATACAAGCAGTTGTACTGAACTATATTTCAGCATTTTCAATATTAATAATTCACAAAAGTTGCTAAATTAAATTCATTAAAAAATGAATGAAAAGTTAATTAAATTAAGCAAACTGTAGTTGTGAGTAATCAGAGGTATCCATGTTTGCACATAGTTTCCCATATGCAAAGAAATGTTTGAGCAGATTGTTATTTGTTTTGTTCTCTATGCTAGTTTTAGGATTCTCCCATGAAGAAATTCAGTTACAATATTTGTAATTAAGACACGAAACCATATTCATTTGGGGGAAGCAGATCGAAGATGAGGGTTAACCACATTTAAAAAGAGAAGCTAAATTAAAAAAAAATCCAAAAGATATAAAATTCATTTAAGACATCTAAAATTATGCAAGCAAAGACAGGTTATTACAATTCTAATTATACACAAAGTGTATCTGGAAATTAGACATTTTTTCAAAAAAATAATTAAGGGTTGTAACAACTGCATTACTACTGATGCCATCTCAAGCTTCCTTTACAGCATTTAAGAGCACTATCTTCTTAGACAAATCCTTTTTGTTTTTGTCAGCATAACTCTTAGTGATGTTGACTGTCTACCCATAGCAGAACATGTGACCAACTGATGTTTTCTCTTACAGCATTTGATTTGTTTTATGAGAAGGTACATTAATTCATAATTAAAGCATTTAAAAGTCATCTTGATATTGTTCAGTTTCTCTATGTAACATATAGGTTTTCAGAAATTCATTTATTCATAGGAATAAACACCCTATAAAATGATCCAGGGACACCTGAACGATATCTGGCGAAAAATGACTAACCACAGAAGGTTATTTATAATTTTGTCCTTTCGGTTTAGTAAGTTTTTAGAAGCAGGAATTGCTTTGCATTATAAGCTCACAGAAAAATACTAGAGCTGCGACATGCTAACACACCTTTGTGGAAATGAAATGAAACTACTGAGCAGCACTTCACCTCTGTAGGTTACCCTAAGTAGAAATAGTATGTCGCGAACAAAGTGCATACAGCACATATCTAGTTGATAGTACTGATCCAAAATTAATAGAAAGTAACTTGCTTACCTGTCTGACACAGCATGCCTCAGCCACACATGCAAATTATTTTACTCACATAACTTCAAAAAATATATCTTCATTACCCAGAATAAGCATTTGAAAGGCAAATATGCATGCATAGCATTGTAACATTCATACCATGGTACTTTGTTCTAAAAATACAGAATCCATGAACAGCACTTCAATCTAAGAAACAGTTCACTGAAATTTCTTAATCTGTTGGTTTCTTTAAGTAACAGAAACATTTAAAACAATGTCTAATTTAGCATCTAAAGAAATTTTTCAATACCTATTCAAGACTTAAGAAATTATCTCCATGATTCCAAGGGAAAATTTTCTTTTATCAGGAATTGAGAAGCGTGACCTTACTTCTCGTTGCTATTGTGAAGCAAAATATATGCGTGTATCTGTCTTTCACAATATACGTCCTCCCTTTACGACTGTAGACTCTTCAACTTTTGAAAAGTATTAAAGACAGATTTTGTTAAGGGTACAGCTGATGAAGAAAACATAGGATATTCTTTCTTTCTTTCTGTTACAAAATCATGTCCACACACTGCAAAGACTTAATTTTATGCAATTCAGCAATTTAGACATTGACTTCAAGGGGGTCCCAATTTTCAACTTGCAAGAAGACAAGTTAGTTTATGTGACGCTGCTTTTAGTTCATAGAAGTTAAGTCTTTGCATGTTTCTCTTATGCAGATTTTAATAATCTTTTATTCCTGGTATTATTTCCACCAAATGTGGTTTACATTTTGAGGATAAAAATACAGAGCAAAAGAAGAATAACTGAATTTTTTTCAGTATTTCAAAAAGTCAAATGCCTGGAAAGAAAGCAAATGGAAAAAATATTGTTTTGCCTTGGATAGTTCAAGCTTAGACACAGTTCATTCTCAATTTCCACTGACTAAAAGAATGTCAATGAGAATTGAGGGCACTCAATAGGTTCAGGTTCTAAATCAACTGAAATAATACTCCTAAGACGAATAATGATCTTTAGCAGCAGACCATCATGAAGCTGTACATATATTTATCTGCATTGTACAAGGGTCACAGACATTAACTGGATGATCTACAGCTTGGGAATGTGCACATCTCATGCCTGATTCTCAATTAAGGCCTAAAATCTCTCAATTTATGGCTATTCATGGATTATAATAAAACAGCCTGCTTCAGATATCACGATTATCTGCAGAGCAACAAGACAGTTATGAGACTTCAACAAGGCAAATTTATAGAATTATCTTCAACTTCCACTGGTCAAATATTCATTAGCAGTAAATGAGGTCTTACCTGTCACTGTAGGCAGCTGCAGTGGCAGTGGCAGGCTGGGCATACCGGTAGGCAGCATAACCACCCTGAAACACAAACTCACGCTCTAACTGGATTGCTACAGCACCTTAAATAACATTTTGCAAAATTTAGCAACAACTGAAAGAGTACTGTCATGCTGTAAGTTCAGTTAAGGGGTTAAATAGGAAATATTTCAGTGAATCGTTAAGCAAAATTCATCACCACAAACTTGTACTTGTTAAGATTTGTCCCAGAGATCAGGAGAAAGCAATGAACTGTATTCATCAACGTAAGTTTTTTTACAAGACAATACTGTATTCGTCCACAAGTTTTCAAGTAGCAATTGTTCTTATGAATGAGTTGTATGCACATTAATAAAGCGATGCTGAACTTAAAAGAAAAACTCAGCTAATAATCAATTCGTTTTTGTACAAAATATGATTTATCATGTCTGGTTGATTAAACCTATGAATTTGTGCACTCAATTAGCACTTAATGTTACATAGGTTTCCAATTTATACGTAAAATTATAATGAAGAAGCAAAATTCTCTTCTTCCATGAATTAACATTCAGTTGTATGTAACAGTAATTGCAGCTGTTCAATTAAGCAAACAGGACAAACAAACACACATTTGAAAGGAATTGTGTGCAGTGATGCATTGATTATCAAACTGTGAAAACAGCAGAGCTTCCTGTTCAATGGACCACGGTGTTATATCAACCATTTCAAAATGATCTCAGCATGCCAATTACCAAACAGAGGCCAGTCTCCACAGATAACACAAACACGATTTACATCCCAATTAGAATTCACCACCCCATAATCCTCTGGGACAGGGGACTTTTGTATTTCCTTTCCCGCCTTCCCCCCACCTTAACAAAGAGTTGAATAAGAAAGTATCAGATCACTCAGCTTTGAATAAAATTCACTTTTTTGCTAAAGTGTTTGCTTTAATGGATTGGTTTTTTTCAGGGTTTTTTTTTTTTTTTTTTTTGGAAGGCTGCATTCACACAAGATACTGTGCTGAAGCATGAAGAATAGGCTACGATGTGTCAACCTTTACTGTAACAGTAGTACATTTTTACTGCAGGAACTTTTGTGGGTTTTCTATTTTGATTCTACAAATAAAAATTCACTCTTTTCAGCAAAGCAATTTCAACTACTTCTACAAGCTATTTCCCCTTCTACTGCTTTGCTTGGTGGAATCGCTTTCATCCCTAACAGGTGTAAACCTTTTTTGGTTTGAAGATTTGAAGCAGGTTGGGTTTGGAAATCAATCATTCAGCTGCTAACACCACATCACCCTAAGAATAAACATATATTTTACATACACTGACAGCTCATTAGAAACTCCAGGCTTTGAATTGTCAACCTACTTGAGGAATATTCTTTCTGACTTTTTCAAGTGCTCACACAGAGAATAGTACATTTACCTCCCCACTCCTGGTCAGCTCCCTGTCAGCAGCAATTGTGTCACACAACCACCGGAATAAGGCAGGTGCTTTCATAATACTATATATGCTGTCTCTTTTGCAGCAAGCTGCTTCTCTGTGCAAGCACAGAAGCGTTGAGATGAAATACTTTCTCATTTCAAATCATTTGATTTTTATAAACCAATAGAAGGCTATTACTGTCAAAAATGTATAATAGGCACATATTGCTTGCAGCTATGTGCATACAGGCAATCAGATGTCAAATAATGTCACCAAGTGCAAACTGAGCCAGTAAACAGTGAGGCTGAGAGATGATAATGCAAGCTGCACACTTGGTCTGGCTTCTGCTACAAGGAGAAAGGTGAGAGATTATATGAATTTATCTGTTCTCCCCTCCTGGCTTTTGAGTGCTAAATATAGCACCTTTTTTTTTTCTTTTCTTTTTTTCCCTGAGTGCTGATATGAGGCGGTACAAACGGTAAAAGTATAAAAAAGATATTAAACTTGTTTTCATGATCCAGTCCTGAAAATGTGTGGCAGAATGCAAGTCATTCTGCAGTATGTTCGTCACATGTATGACTCCTTTGCTTGTCCTGCAGTCCATTTCTAAAACGCCTTATTTAAATATGAGAGCCACTTCATTTCGATCCAGCTATGCACATAATGACTCCCACCGCGGTACAGAATTGAGGATGGGCCACCATGAGAAGTATCAATGTTTCGATGTTCTTAGTCAGACAAAAATGGGACAGGCTGTTCACATACTGGCTGGTCTTAAATCTGCAGATGGTAGGCTCTGTGAGGATTGTTTTTCTTTCTTTTATTTAACTATCACTAAAAATTGGTCCGTCTGTGAAGATGGACCCTTTCTTGCTCACTAGATATGAGAGTTACGTTCCTTTTATGCTTACATTTTGATTTGCTTTCATCAAAGAATTGCTGCTGAACAATGAAGCTCAACTCTGAACTTTATTAAGATGCTGTGGCTTCAACAATCAGTATGAAATTTGTGAGACTCCTGGAAAGACTGAGTCTAAAGCAATAAAACCAAAAAGAGATCGAAGTTACTGAATTTGCCTGAGTTCTTTGGAGATCTAAAATGCAGGAGGCATTTGGTTATCAGGAAAATCATAACTCCCTACCAGCCCGTGTCATGATTTCATATTTTTAACATAAGCTATCATATAAATACACATAAAAAAATTCTTAAGAAAATTATTTTTATGGGGTTTGTGTTCTGCAGTTTTGGTGAGGTACTAAGTTTTCTTCTTGTTTTACTTCAATTGCTTCAGATGATTCACCATTACAACAACAAAATACTTGAAGGTACACTTTATATTGGGAATCAGGATGGGAATCTGGTTCAAACCTCTGAAGTCTAAACTTCTGTGACGAGTTCTAATCTACAATTTTTCTATAATTTTGAACTTGGCTGATATCTTAGAAGAAGAATACACTAGTAATATTCACTACATATACATCTCTTCAGTAATATATTCAATATTTATCTTCACGCCTTAGACTATATTGCAAAATAAAATATTTTAAACAAAATTATGTAATAATTACATAATAATAAATAACAATTTTCAGTTCCTATGTTTTAGAAATGTTTTAGGAATGCTTTTTCTTCCCCTCACTAAGTACATTCAAACAGAAAGTACCTGACTGTTATGCTTTAAATTATTATTTTGAGAATTCAGCTGAAATAATAAATTCAGCTAAAATAATTTAAAAATGCCTACTGCCTTATCTGTGCTCCCATATTTGCTACTTCCAAAAGAATGACAACACAATGTTACAGCAGCTTAAGCTGTCAAAAAATTAAGTATAGAGTCAATACACCCGCAGTCCAAATATAGAGATATATCTCACTGGTATAAAATACTGAACGGGACACTCACAACTGTAACTGTTGTATTTCATGGGATATGAAGAATATCTGTGATTTTGTGATAGAATCTGGAAAATAAAATGCAACTGGTAGCCTATTCTTATCATTTTTACACACAGAATCCATTTTCTCACATAATGATTTGAGTATTAGTATGATTTTACAAGAGTCTACATTCAGCGTAATGAGTTTTTTCCATCAGTCAGCATGTCATACCTGTGGTAACTTATTGCCATACACAGGCTCTTGCAATACTGCTCTATAAAGAAACAGAAATGTAATGATTTGAATGAGTAAGGAAAGAAGGGTGGAAAGAAGGATGGAAAGAAACATGTAAGGAAGGAATTTAGATAAATTCCCCAAAGCCACTCATTACAATTTTCCTTTCAATGTTTTATACATCTCTGTGGCTCAGGCAAATTGAAAAAGAGCAGTGCGATCTGTGGAAGATCAGTAGCAAATTGTTACAGAGACATCTTAATCAATTTTAGAAAGAAATCACAGAATTTTTAGATAAGATGATAAAATGGAAATGAACAGAAAATCAAATGCATCTGAATTTTTAAATAAAATGTGTATATCGGTAGTAAGAATAATTTCCACAAAAACGAGTTAAACGCACATCTATAGATTACAAAACCACATATAAACGTGTGCCTCTCCTCCTAAAATACCTAAATTACTTTTTATCTTGATCTCCGATGTACTGACAGTGTTTATCATAGATACAGATAAACTAAGTGACTCTCAATGACTTTTTTTTTTTTTTAGTTTTTCCTATTACTAACATATTTAATATTCTATGTGAATGTTGATAATTATTTTTCCCCAATTTTTACTTCCTATAGCTCCTTTCACTCAAGGATCTCAAAGTATTTTTTGAACATAAATTAATCAAGGTCCAAAGCCTTCTCTAGTATTGAGAATTACACTTGCCTTGTTAGCTAAAATTAGAGAAATAGGATTAAAAAATGGCATTAATTACACCCAGGCCTGTAGAATATAGAAAGCAGAAGTAGTCATTTCCTTTTCCTCCACTCATATGATATTGAGGTTTAAACAGTATTCGCTCTGGTCATGGAGTAAAACTTTGACTGGGAAATATAAAAAAAAAAATATCCACCACCTCTTTGTGCTGGCTCAACTTCTGGAACAGGCCTATGTGAAAGGTTCACAATATTTCTATACTGTGCTCCCAGAGGTATCTGTTGTCTCAGAGAAGCTCTTGGTAATATATGCAAACTGACACCACCTGTATTAATTCCAACCAAATACAATCACCAGGAGTGATCAAGCATTTTTTTGAATGTAGTGTTTATATCACAAATAAAGATCAGAGAGATGAAAAGACACCTCCCTCCATTTACAAAACACAAAAATCTTTGGTTCTTAAAAGGAGGACTTCAGTGCTAACTGCATATCCTTGCTTTTCACACTAGAACGTGCCTTTCAGGATGTCTGATTGCATCAGTGGACTTCTACATAGTATCAAGGGAACATTGCTTAGATAATTATATCTGCTTTTTCCTTGGGAAATAAATACATGCTCCACCCTCAATACCATCCTACCTTTGAGCTGAAGGAGATGGCAGTAGCTATTGATAATCTTGTTCCTTACCCCTGATCACAAAGTATGCCTTATTCTTGATCAGCAGGTCAGAAAAAAAATCTCAAACCTATGTACTTATACGTTGTCGTGGACTCTCACCAGTTGCAGTAGGACAGGTTCAGAATCCTGAGAACAGGTTAGAAAATCTTGCTGTGAACAATAAGTCTGACTAATGTGCATGGTTAAACCGTATTACCAAGGGACTTCTGAAGCTGGTGATGACAGAGTTTGGAAGTTACTCATATTTCTTAGCCTTCCCACATTTCAGATGTGGATTGAAGACTGACATGTTCTGAAAACATTCTTTATGACAATGGTAAAAAAAAATATAACAGATTTAAGATAAAGCAGAGCAGTAGTGTAGAGCTGTTATTATAACTGCTTATTTCTGCATCTGTTACTATTTTTGCTCCATTTTGTGGAGTATATTTTCTTATTTTCACAAGTGTCAATCTTCATCTAGGAACTTCTATATTTGCTGGCAGGCAACCTTAATTCTCTTTTAATGACTTTTTCTCTTAGTGAATCAATACTTAATTTTAAAAGGTCTTCCTTACTTCCTAATCTTCTCCTTTATTTTTCCTACTCAAAGGCACATTTAAAAAGGAATTCAATAGCTCAGCTATTTCAGAGGCATTATTACATTTCAAATAGAACTATATGAAATATAGGATATATTATATTACATCTAGAATCACGGCTGTTGATTTTTCATTTTAGACTGTACTTTCCACCTATTTTTGTATTCCTATTATCTTTATTTCTCTGGTTAGTATTAAGCAACTCTGGCTATTTGCTGTTCTTGGTTGACCCTGCAGTTTTCACCCAACCAGTATCTTTGTGTGTCTTCCCTCTTTCCTTTCCACAGAATCTAGCCGTCAAAGTCTATATTGATAGCTAGTTATGAAAAGATTGGCATGGTCCATATTACTGTTGGTACTCTATGTAATCATATCAGAATGAAACCCGCTTTGATATACTTGTTACGCGTATTTTTGGTCTGGCTTTTCAGTACTGTGTTCCATTTGTTTTGCTTTGTGTGGTATTTTTAAGGTTCCTTTCTCTCCAATCTACTATTAAAACCTGTATTATTTAAATTTTTTTTCTTCTTTTTTTCCACAAAGCATTTGTTCTTTCACAATGCTTCAGCTCTGCACTTCAAATGAAAAGCTGAGTAGAACTATGTCATAATCAATTGGGATTTAATAAATAACTTGGTCTGCTGCAGACTAATACACTAAGAACTAATACACTGTGAATTGTAAGGCTTCTTTTGATTTATGCCAGTTCTCTATCTCTCTCTCCCTCCCCTGCAAAATGTTTTATATGCAAGAAAGAACAAATGTGAAGAAAAATGAATTATAAAATAAGAAGCTTTGTACATTATAAAAAAAAACAAAACAAATTTCCAGAAGAGTGTTTTAATTCTGTCAACTGTTGTAAAGGTAAACATTCTGCTGCATTAAGAGAACTACGAAATGCAATCAGAAATACAAGGCTGCAACTGAGTGAAAACCAATGCACCAGTATAGTTATCCCATTTTCTAATGTACATGACTGTTCCAGACAACAAAAGTGAGGCTATACTAGAAATTAGTAATTTCTTCGGTATCTTCCTCATTGAAATCACCTTCCAAAATGGAAACAAAATGTTCAAGTCTGTGAGAGGGTGTGAGGCCACCTAAAAATAATATTGTCAATCACCAAAAGAGATATTTCTGTTTTTCAGCAGCAGTGGGATCCAAAACTACAAACTGTTACATTAACATTTAGTTCCCACCTATACTATCATATTAAGCAATCCTGAGAAAGATGTCTTGTTGCCTTTCAGATTTTCGGGTTGGTAAACTGAGCAAAATGGATGTCACATTCTTTTGACAGTTTGAAGAAATATGAAAATTGGAAGTCACACTTGAAGAAATTCCACACTGTACCATGTATCCTATATAGCTCAAAAATTCAGCAGCAATGTGTTTAGGTGAGATTAAAGCAGCATACTACACTTGAGTAAGCCTTTGGCAAATGGGCGATTCCCATGTGTTGTAAACAATGTGTTACTGATAACATCACTAAGTACATAATTACATAGGGAGAGAATTTTAACCCATGCTAATTTATTTTAAATATATTTTTAAACTACACAAATTAATTTTCAGATAAGGATCAGCCTCTTTCTACCCCATCAGAAAAACAAAACCTACTTCATCCATAAATTCAAATTGTTTTCCTTCTTTATATAAAACTTATTAAAAAAATATCTGTTCCCGTGGAAATAGTTCTAAAGGATTGCTGATAATGAATACAAGGAATGTTTTCTAGCACTACCTATTGAATTTTTAATATTCATACCAATTTCAACTCATCCATCTCTTTGTATCTCAACAGAGACAGTACAACAGAAGTACAAGTAGATTAGAGGGAGAGTTGTCTGGTGAAATAAAGATGATACCTGTACCTTAGGACCAGATTGCTTTATCAAAATAATAACAAATGTGAAAGATTACTGGACTATCAGTGACATAGTTTACATCTACACATTAAAAAAAAAAAAGCCTGTGAACATAGGGTATCAGAATTAATTATTTTAGAAGAGTGAAATTCAGCCTCAACCACCTGAAACCTCTTGTATACTCAGACAGAAGTAGCCTCTTTGTATACATTCAAGGTAAAAACTTCAGTATTGGCAAGAAACTTAAAAAACATTATTTAAAAGGAAACTGGTGACCAATGAGGTGAAGTAGGTAATGATGGATCCAGGGCTATAAATCCTTACTAACTAATATAACCACTTCTTACATCATGAGCAGTCTCTACCCACTTCATTTAAATTGAAATAACTGGATTTTAAAAGAGCAGATGAAGTCTACTCAGATTACAGACTATACATAGACATATTTTAAACTTACTATGTAATTAAGCCCTACTATCACCATGGCACTTACGTATACCCAATGTTGCCTTGATTTGGGAAATCTGTATCTCTCCATAAAGTATTTGCATACTTCAGGTATTAATAATATTCAGCTTGCCTTGATTTTTAAAAACGAGCTTTTAGGGATTTGCAGAAGAATGTTTCTGCTTTATTTTTATTTCTTCTTTGAACTCCGATTTTGGAGACACCCCTCCACACACGCACACACATTTTTCCACATCTTTTTGCATTCATTCAGCATTTGATTGAAGAGTTAATTCAGCTCCACTTAACAATGATAGATGTAATGAACAGAAAGGTCTTCCAATGTGAGAGATATTCTTCTCAATTCTTTCTGACAGGCACGGGATGGTAAATAGACAAAACGGAGTCAAGCTAGGCAGCAAACTTGTAAAAAGAATGACTCTGGTAATGTACGAGGACAGCATGCACATCAATGAATACTTACATAAATGTCTGCACCATAAAATCCATCCTGGTATACAACACTGCAAGGATGCACACACAAAGAAAAACATCCATATTAGTGCATTTCCACATGCAAATGCCACCAACCCCTGCACAGCTGAGGTTAGTCTTGTCACAAGAACGGGGGGAGGAAGGCAGCTCTTCACATTGATTAAGGAGGTTGGTAGTAATTATCAGAAGTGAAACTGCACTGAATACAACATCTTATAAAGTATGCCAAATGCTTAGTCAAAGAAAGGCAAAGCATGGCAGGATTGGAAAATACTTTTGATAACGTTTTGGTTGTGGGGTTTTTTTCTTCTTTTTTTTAAGCAACCACATATTGGCAGCATTTTTTCTATAACAGTTTTCAGTGGGCCAATCCTACAATCAGTTTTAATACATTAAGAAAATGCTACCTCTTAAACTACTACATTATTGTCCTGTAATTATGTCAACCCTCTGAAACAAAGTGGTAGTTGTCATTACTTAGATGGAAAACAAAACAAAGCATAAGTTTATACGGTGAGAGGAATGTGTGAAATAATTATAGTGGTGGTATTCTACCCATTGGGTCAAATCTCAATACCTCAATGTACACACAGATGAGAGTATTCATAGGTACCGAATCGTTTGCTTGGTACCCATTTCCGATAGTGACAACAGGTCTGTTAAGAATGTCATGGCGTTATTCTTATAAAAAAAAGTATTAACCTTCCTCACTTTATCATTTTACAACTTTGGCAAACATGCCCGTGGTTCTGAGCTGCCCTGCATTTTTGGTTGGATACATTACTACTTATCTGAAAAAATGTAGAATTGTTAATATTGCTGTTAACAGTTTACCCAGAGACTGCTGCATTTCAGCTAAGACAAATCGTCACTGTAAATAGTTCAAATTTTAGATTCTAAACCTTTCAGGATAAATGACATAGTATGACAAAGGTGGTTTAAATGATTACACTAAATAAAACTGGAACTATGCAACAGTGGCCTACCAATTACACACATTACTTAAGTCCTGCAATTTTACATTCATTTGGCAGTTCTGCAACTTAAAATGGGTATTTCCAGTATCAGAATCAACCCAAGCTGTTTTGAGAGCTAAATATGAGAGCACACAATAGATTTTTTGCAACAATATTTTCAATTTGGGAATACTATTATCTGGGAATAATAGTTATTACCATGTTTCCAGCCTAAGCTGTTTTGCAATTCCAACAAGAATTTTCATGTCAGAAATATAACTGATCTATTGAGGTCGATGACCAAAACCCACAGGGCTGAGCTGGTACGTGTCTAAGTCAGAATCACTTGAGAAAATCATAAATACGCATACATGCATATAAACCACATTGATAAAACCACACTGACGATAAAAGTTTGCTATGGAATAATAATGTGTGAAAACTCAGCTCCACTTAAATCACAGTGTCTGCCATTTGCTTCAGTAAGGTCAGACTTTTACTCATGTATTTTTCCATTTATTATGTCTGCAGAGCAAAATACGCCAAACCTTGTCTACACTGGTAGCATTCAGAGAGCTTGCTATTTACATTGTAGCGTACCTTCATTTTGATTTTGATATTCTGATTATTTTAAAATGTTACATGTTTTTCTTATACCTGTTTGCATGTAAGAAGTAAAACATTCCACGTGACTGTAAGGTAGAAGTACACGACCATGAACAACATGGAAGGAGTTTTATGAGATCATATACAAATGATACAAAGTTTTCTGAAGATGGAGGCCCCACAACCACAACCCCCAAGTTCCTCATATCCCTGCACCACGCATGCTGGGAGGAGGTGGAGGAGCTGGGAATGAAGGAGTGAAGTTGAGCCTGGGAAGAAGGGGCGGGGACGGGGGGGAAGGCGCTTTAGCTTCTTTGTTTCTAACTATACACCTGCATTTTAATAGGTAATAAATTAAATTAATTTTCAAGACAAGTCTGTTTTGGCCACGGTGGCAATTGGCAAGCAATCTCCCTGTCTTTACCTCAACCCAAGAGCTTTTCTGTCTTACTTTCTCCTCCTATACTCTTGAGAAGGGAGAATAAGAACGCAGCTGGGTGAGGCTCTGGCAGCCAGCCAAGGTCAACCCACCACAGTACATTAAAACATACTACTTTCAATTATTATTAAACACTGCTATTCGGAAAATAACGCTTTTGAGAGAATATGTGCAGAAAGGGGACCTTTTTTCTTCCTCCTCTTGGTGATCTGTGGGTATACAGTGAAGATGTCACAAGATGAATAGGAGCTGATACATTTTGAATTCCCAAGTGCAGCTGGTTGTAATCTTGGATAGGTTATTTCATTCACCTAGGCCTTCCTTTTACATAGCATGCTCAGTCATGTACAGACAGAAACCTATTTTGAATTCTAAATATGCAACTGCTTGATAAATATTATACCGAAGGAAGTACCCAACACTAAAATGAGACATGAATGCATGACTCTGTCATTAAACACAGTTAGTATTAAGATGAAGTGACAGAGTCAGGCAAATGAGTATAACATTCCCAAGCAGGACATGCTATCAGCTGATTTCATCTTATTTCCTCCATATGGTCTTGTAGGATGATAGTGATGTTAAATATAAAACTTTCTGCTTCTTTTGAAGTTTGAAGGAAAATAATTCTCTACATTTTCATAGATTTCATAGATTTTCAGAGGGTATTTTCTCTATTCACTGTCCTTGTCATTTGTTGACTCTTGTGACTGAATCTTACCAGTGGAGTCAAATGTATTTTCTAACAGCACCATTCATCAGAAGGACAACGTGTAAAACACCAAGAGTTCTTGCGCTTTTTTTTTCCTTCAGTATATAATTTTCCAAAGGGTAATTTGCTTGGCTTATTATCCCCTTTTCTTTCTCTTGAAGTTGTAGGCAGAAAACAGATGATAAGTCTCAAGCATGGGACGAGACTGAATGCATCACACAGGCACCCATCTCACCACAGCTCCTTTTACACTTTATATTCCAAAAATTCTCTTGGCAGACAGATAAATCTTAGTTCCTTGTAAACCAACACAGGGTCTGGAAATAGCCACATTATTGAAATCTGAATTACTTCACCCAGGAATGGATGATATGTTAATGCACTACCTGGAGGAATTAAAATAAGAACAACAAATTTGGGGGATTTATTCAGTTGTACTTTATGATTTTATAGTGCTAAGGAAAAGTCAGGGAAGAGAGAAATCTTGATTTAATAAGAAAATGTGCATCTAAATAACATCATATGTGGCAATCATTTCCTGAAATTATTTTTCTATAAATATGAAACTGTTTTCTCACCAACTATTATACATCTGCTTTGCATGGTTTTAACTGCTTTATTTTAGTCTCTGTGTCTTATAATCATTTTCTGTAACTATATTAAGACAAACTCTTTACTAGTTTAGATTCCACCTTTATAATATCCTGGGATACTACAGGACTACATCTGTCTTCATTATCATTTTTCTATCCTCATCTTTCAAAAGGATTGGGTTGAATAATCTTTCAATGACATAAGAAGACAGTTCTTGACTGCACAAACCTTAGTTCAATAACTTCATAGCAGCTGACTATATGTGGCCCCCAGCCATACACACAACCTGCACAAGTTAGCATAAATAACCTAAGGCAGATTAAGTGCATGGAGTGATTGATTCAGTGTAACAAACGGGCATTACAATCATGATTTCATTCATTGCAATAGAAATCATGTATAGTTTGCTCTTTCCCCTCCATCACAACTAAGAGAAAGCACTTGAGGAACAAAAGTTCTCTGTTCTCTGATTGCTGGTAGGGTCGCCCTCACTGTCCTACACATATCTTCCAGTTTTTGGTCTCGGAAATCACGGTATACCTTTTATATGAAACCTTTTATATGAAGCCTTCATGAAGCAAATAGTAGAAGAGATGTAATTACAACCTTATTTAAAATAAACCAAAGAAAAGACTGAGAATTAAACACCTTTCAACACTCTAATAACACAACTTTCACTGTTGTAAACATAGAACTGAAACTCTTGTATGAGGCTGTTTCAACTTTTTAGAATGTCCTCTAATTCCAGGTTCTTGTCTTTCCAGTTTCAACATTTTCTGCCATGAACAAGTTATATTATCTGCTTTGGAAAAGTAATTGAGGGCATTGCTGCAGAGAACAAAGCTGGAAGACATGTACTGGCAAAACACATTTTTTGTTCCAACAATTGCACATATATACAAAGCACAGAGTCCAAAGTAAGAGGAAGTTTCTATGAGCCCAAAGAAATGTATTGAAAAAAAACATAACCACCATAGCAGATGTAGTAGCTTATATTAATTATCCTTCTTTCTTAAATTCAGAATAAGGTGTTGGAAAATAAAGCTTCTTTTTCATTTTGAATCAGTTAGAATGTAGCACTTCAAAACAATTAGTTTAACAAAGGGGAACAGTTTCTGAATAGTCTCTGTTACTTCTCCTCCACCCTCCCCAACTTCACAATTAGGATTGAGGGTTTTTTTAAATTCTTCTTTTCAAAGAGAAAAAAGCATATTGCTATCCCCTGTTTTCCTAGGAAAGACACCAGAAGTGGAGATATGGACTGAAAGCTTCTAAATTCTCTGTTAGCTTAATCAAAACTGGAAGGAGTGGAGGGGAAATGTGAAGACAAATCATTATACACTGAACTTGTGAAGAACTTGAGGCAAATGATGCTGAAATAGAAGGGCTTCTCATTAGTTTTACTAATACCGCTATCTACTACTACTGTCTGCTATACTACCAGCTATACAGTGACGTGGGCTTTTCTTGACAGTGGTATGAAGATGGAGCATCACACTCATGACATTTTACTATTTGGTGAATGATTTTCAAGAATGCTGAGCTACTAGTTGCTGCAGAGTTCAAAAGCAATTACAGGTATCAAAATCAGATCACCTGCTTTCGGTAGTTTGCCAAAGAGAACAAAACCTGCTTCTTTCTCCTTTCTTTTGGCAACGTAAGTACTGCCAACTGCACCCAAAATCTGTCATAAGAGTACCTTTACTAGTAGCTTCTGCTTTATTAGGACATTTCTTACACCATTAGTAGGCATTTTGTCAATAAAATAGATAATCCTAGAAAGACACAGGTCAAACCAAGACGATGTTTTTTACACTGATGTCTTTTTTTTTTTTTTTATAATTTAAAAATTATTTTGTACAAAACACTATCTAGTACCCAGAGAGAAGCCTGCAAGAAAGGTCAAAGAAGCAGTAAGCTCAAATCCTCCCACATGGAAGCTGTCCCAAGAAAGAAGGTATGAAATAGCAACTGCTTTGCTCCTCAACCAAGTTACCAATCTTGCTGTGAAGTTCCCGGAGAGTCCCCTGGGATAAGCAGGCAATAGCTCCTAGCTCCACAGCTACATCCTCCCATACTGACAGGCTTAGATCTCCGTGCACCTCTCACACCGTACACAACACGACCATCTCTTGCTTCTCTTCCTCCTGCAGCATAGTGTTGAAGCTAAGCTCTCCATGCAATATAGATCTACAAACTCTTTAAATTTCAGTGTTCAGTTTTCTCACACAAATGAAGCTTTACTGCCTTCATTTCAGTTTCAGTAGGTTTTTATGGTACATAAATGAATTATACATATGAAGTTATGAGTAAGCCGCACATTGTAGTATTTCAAGGCATTCGAAATGATGCCACAGATGCTAAAAATGAAGTATTTTCCATGAGCTAATAAACAAGATACTATCTCAAGGATTGGTGAAATGCCTCACTCGCAAGAAAAGGATCCATTAATTATTTATGTAGTGCTACATATCTCATGAACACTGATTTAATTTTTAAATGACACATTTTAAAGCATGTGTGCTGTTCTTTGACTTATAAGAAAACAGTGGCCTTAAATATGGCTATATTCAACAATTTTCCTCAGGCCTAGCAAAGTGTGCCATATTTGCTGTTCGCAGTAACTGTGAGGCACAGCGGAAGAGAGCTTTCCATATGAATCGCACTAACTTGTTTTGCCCGATGACCACAAGATCATCTAGATTTCCTTACAGCCTGGGACGTGTTGCCATTTCTTAACTTTGTTGACAAACAGTTTCTAAGAAAAGGTCACAGTCCGTCTCAAACAGGACACCAGTGAACAAGAACAACCACAGATTCAAGGGAGTCTGAAAAGAAAGAAGGGCTTTGTGATAGAGCACGGAATCCTAAGACAGTGCTGCTGAGATAAACACTAGTAAGCAGCATGTCGGACTAGTCTAAGAAATACATGTTCTTAGCTTTACAGTCGGTTTCCAAATTTAAAGCAAAATGATTCAGTTTCAGTTCCAAAACTTTGTAATATAAACAAGTGTGAAGAAGATTATTTCAGATCAAGTATTATATTTTGTTTCAGTTATAAGCTTTCTAAGGTTAAGAAAATAAAAGAAAATGAAAAAGGTAATTTCAAACTTCAGCTTTATATTTTACACTTATATGTGGGCTCTTTTTTAAAAAGAAAAGTAATATTTTTCTAACTAAACATTGCTGGAGCTCTAATTTATAATTAGAGTTATATCTGTCATTAAACAAAATAAATGTCTTTTTTTTTTTTTTAATGATTGAAAATATTTTAGTATGAAACTGTTTGCTTGGCTCTAAGTCTGGGCTCCTTCCTTGAGTGAAAAATGAGAAATTGCTACTAAATGAATTGCAACATACCACTCAAAGCTTTTTCCATTTTTCTTATCAACAAATGATATTCCGAGTTGTTTGTTTCTTCTGTAAGTTGATTCATTCTCTGTGATCTCTTTATTATCTCTGTAATTTTCATTGACTCCTACTCCCATTGTGACTGAAAACCACATTCTTATAATTTATTCTCATTGATTAAGGATTTTCTCTAATGAAAATTCCTTTTTGCTTCTTTGATAGGTCAGGGTGGGCGAGCACAGAACAAAGCATTGCAAAGAAATTCCAAATTGTACTATTGTATCAGTGAAGTTACTAGCACAAGATCTAATACACTAGACCAAAGAAATTATTTCAGAATAAAGCTTTATTAATCCAACTGCGGATAAGCGCAACGGAGGTACGTATGTATTTCTGCACTGATCCATGAATTACAAAAGTGGGAAATTTATTTTGTGCATCGAAAAGCAGTGCCTTATTATAAAGCATAGGTGGATGGAGAAAATTAAACCTGACTAATATCTGAACTAAGACCTATCTAAATTAAGACAAAGCTTACTAATTGAAAACTTTTGCAGAGTCAAACTGTGTTAGAAAACATACTGACTGGCAAGGTGAGCCCTAGATTACTAAGGGTTCATCTCAGACAGCTGGAAGTCATCAGAACAATGAGAAAATGTGACTTCTTACTGATGTAATACATGGCTGCCTCTGAAGTCAGCTTCAAAGACAGGTCGTGAAAGTAGTAGGTGAGATCTGTCCAACCTAACTGTCAAACCATCCTGCAGAAGAATGTAAGAGTGTTGAACTGACCTCTTGGAATCCAGTTCTGAAACA